TGGTCACCATTTGGTGAATGTTCAGCTCCATGTAATGGTACACAATCTCGTTATCAAACTTTACAAGGGCCTAATTGTTATCGAAATGATACGAAAACCGAAACTCGACCATGTAGTACAGCAATCACAAGTTATCAAAAAGGTTGTTTAACATGTACATGTTTAAATACAACTGAAGAACAATGTGTTAGTAATTGTGCTATTACAAATGAAACATGTTCTCAAATTGAAGATCCGTTATTTACATACACTTATGCGCCACCAACGAATGGTTCATGTTGTGGTTCATGTGTTAAAGTTCTTAGTAAGTATTTGTCAATATGACTTCTAAGAACTTATACTTATTTTGTCCTTTTTTTCTGCATAGAACCAGAAATTTGTTCAGTTCAGCAATTACCAGCTGACTTTGTTACTATTGATAATTGTACATCAACTGAAAAGATTTATCAACAACAATGCTTAGGTGGTTGTATCTCATATTCAATGTCTGGTTTTAACTCTCCAAAAAATAATTGTCGTTGTTGTTCACCAGCCACAACATCAACAAAACAAGTTGAAGTGAAATGTACCCATTCTAATGGTGATACAACAATTATATTGAAACCTTATGAAAATATTCTCACATGTAGTTGTTCAGCATGTGAAAATACAATTGGTGGCGATTAAATTAAAAAAACATTCTATGATTTTATTAATTATATCCTTAAATTTTTCTTTTTCTTTTTGTTCTCAATAAAATCCAATTGATGATATAGAACAAACAAAAAAAATGCATAGAATTCTATTATTATTAATTTCAAGTAATTAAAAAATTGCTTATTACGTTCTGCTTGAAAGAAAAAAAACAACAATGTTCATAAAATGTCCATATTATCAAATTACAGCATTGAAAAGTGACCTGCATTTCCTGTCTATAATCACACTTCCTTTTCTCATTCCATTTGTTTTTGCTTTAATAAAGCCCCGTACATACAAGTACTTTTATATAGAAAATAAAAGACAAACAATGGGGGAAGCAAACTTATCACTACTGAAAAGGAGAAATGAACTATTCGACCGTAAAAAATGATGTCTTTATCTCATCTTACTGTCTACCTCTTTTTCTCAAGCTTTCTCTCCTCTATCTTCATTCCACCCTTTCTTTTTGTTCTACACATTAGCGCTTCTTCATAGAACCAATAAAAGAAGAAGGCGAAAAGTCAAAAACTCAACCCTTTAGCATTGACATGAAAAAGAACGAAGAGGAAAAAAAGATTTAAGATGCTCATTAGAACGAAAAACACACAAAGGAAGAAAGAGTCGAGACCGGCAGTCAACTTTTTCTAATGTGTGATAAGAGGAAGGTTATAGACATTTAAAAACGTCTGTCTATATTCTCATAGAAAATAAATTGTCACTGTTTATATTCATGCAATATTACATTAATTAAATTAATAATGGTATGTTTATAAATATTTCATAATCGAGTTTATTTCAAGTGTTTTCTGATCATGATACATACATATAATCGTTCGTAGAGTAAAGAGAAATCTATTTTTTTTATTGCAGGTTTTACCAGTCTGGCTTTTCATCTTCACTTTGTCTATTGTCCTTTTGAAATAAAGTGTTGATAAAAAGATTCACTTTTATACATAGGCATGATAGGTAGAACTCATAGTATGGATAAAAATCCTGAAAGAATTTGTTCCATAAGGCCTTTCTTCTCGAGTTATGGTCATTTTACTGAAGTATCAACCTTTCGGAGGATGTCACGAGTAAATTCGCAATAAGGAGCTTCAATACGAAATTCGTCTTCAACAATAGCTTTTTTGGTTTTTCTGATATTCTGAAACTTTCAGCCCAAACAGATGTTTCTCTTCTGAGATAACACGTTTGCAAAAAGCATTCATTTCACACAAGAACCTAAAAGATTGCTAACTTTTTAGGCATACGATATATTAAGAAGAAATCAATCCTTGCTGATGAATATCAATAGTGTAAAACCTGAAACTTGAAGTTTCAAGTTTTGAAATTTCAATTGAATTCAAATTTCAAGTTTTATGTATAAATAATAAGAGGGCAACTTTTTATGATCCAACCTTTATGTACATTCGGATAGTCCAAGAAATGCTCTATAATTCTATGAGCTTTCATCATTCTTTATTTGCCATGATCATATTAGAATTTCAATCAGAGCTGTTCATCTCTGGTGTTGTTGAATAAAGAAAACTTTCGCTTCTGCATTTAAGTGTATACTGTACTATTTTTCATTTTCGACAGTCCAACTAAACCTCTCAGACTTCAAAAATTATATGAATGATTTCTTGAAGGTCAACAAGATGTTAGAGACAGACAGGGTTGCCAGATCATCCGAATTTTTCGGAAATTTCCGAATTTTCTAAGTTTTTCAGACTGCTTTCCGACTTTTCTAATTCATCGGAATTCTTGACATTTTTTCGAATTTTTCTGAATCGCAGTATTTTTTAAAAATTTCTTTTTGCATTACAGTTTTCGATAGAACTTTTGATAGATTTCATATTGCGCCATCTTTTCTATCCTGTAATCATTAGATAATTGATTTTATTCTGACAGGCAAGAAGAGAAGGGAGAGAAGATGCAATATGATAAGCATTTTTTTTTCAAATTTCATTTAAGATTTCTCAAAATAGCTTCAATCAATGTTTGATTTTCGAATAAGTCGTATGAATGAATAGTATCTCTAGAAAGCATAATCTAAATAACAATAAGGATATTGTTTTACTTTTTAATGGTTATATTTTAGAAAGATTGTTGAATATTGGTGCAAGAGCAAATGAATGTGTTCAATCTGATCACTTATATTCATATTTTTTAAATATTGATCCAAAGACAGCACCGAGTTTGAAACTAATTGTTGCCTATGTATTTTCTATTCCATCTAGCAGTTCTTTTCTTGAATCAATATTCAGTCACATGACTCACTTATGATCTAATTATCGAAATTGAATGGATATCGAATTGATGAAATCTGAGCTATAAATCAAAAAGAATTCTGATATTCCTTGTGCAAATGTTCATGACTTTCTTTTGCTCAAGATGAAGTATTGAAAAAAATAGCTTAAAGTGAAAAGTCGTTCGAAAAAATGTCTTAGTAAATGAGCTTTAGTTTCTTTTTCAATAAATGTTTTGAATTGTAGGTATACATACATGTATAGATAGTTTATTTTGAGATTTTTTCGTGTATTAACTGTCTCTTCTTGAAAATGATATTTTCTAATAGTACTATATTTAATATATTTGTTTTAATATTGATGAAATATATCTACAAAGAGGATAACCAAACTCAGAAAGCTTTTTTTTACCAAAAAACTCAACTTGAGCGTCAAAAAGCTTAAAAGCCACTACTTTCCGAATTTTTTTCCGAATTAGCCAGATATTTTTTCCGAAATTTTCCGAATTTAGGCAAATGAATTCCGAGTTGTAAGATTTTGATCTGGCAACCCTGGAGACAGAGCACATTTCGACGAACCTATCATCGAACAACATTCGAAAGGATTTAACAGATACATTGCCTCAATGATGATAATCTTCATATTACTACATCATCTTTCAATAGTTCTAAGAATTGGATTCTGACATTCAAAAACAAAATATAATTTATCATGAATAACTCTCGCTTGAGTATGTAGAATAGTACAGGATCTATTGAAGAAACGAGTTTTTCTTATCTAAATCATAGGTGAACAGCTTTTATCGAAATTCTTATATTGTAACACTAACTGAAGAATAGTGAAATATTTGGTTTTTGTCTGATTATAGACAACAGTCTCTAATATACTAGCAAAAGATTCCAGATCAATACATCGATCTGTTTAGTTTTTATTGATGATACAATTATATCATGCCGTTTTTTATTTCTCCAAAAGCATCTAACAATTTACTTCCACCACCTGTTGAGCGTCTGTTCTAAGTTGAAATCTTCGTTATGATACATGCCTCAGTAGAATACTTTGCACCCTACATAATTCTTAAAAATGTTTAGCTAATTTTATTGTTCAATATGTTATAAGCAGGAGCGTTACAAGCTAGATCAGATATTCTATTTGAATAGATATTCCATGTTGAAAAATTATTTTAGTTGTCGCCTATGTAACATCTTTGCAGATAGCAAATGAAATTCAAAACAATCTGCTTTGTCAACTTTCATGTAATACATTCTTGTTTGGTAAGATACATATCGACTTTACCGTTGGGACTGCAATAAGATTTTTTACTCCTTCTATTTATAGCGTAACAAAAATAAAGAGCTTAAGTGATATAATGAATTTTGATTTCGAATATAAGTTTCATGTGGAAAATGACTCTATAAATCCATGTTGTTAAAAGAAACTTTTACGTTGTTTATTGTGTGATTAAGACAGGAGGAGATTGTCTATCTACATATTTCCTGACGCTCAATTCTCGAGATTATCACAACAAATACGGATGATTTTCAATGCATATGTCTAATAAAATTAGTATGAGAGCTGGCTGGAGACTAGATCATCACTTTTAATTATCTCAAGTAACAGAAAGAGGCCAAATCGTCAAAATCATCGTTTTGTGAAACTTATTAAAGATTCAAACGTGTTTGATTTAGCTCGAGACCTGGATCCTTCTCACATAGCTCGAATGAGTTTCCAGCTGCTTGCCGTTCTCTAAAGCTTTGCGATACAACAGTAAAGAGTTTGTTAGAATGAAAAACGCGCAAAGTAGGAAGGCCGAATGCATCGATCACAGCAATGCTTTAGTTCGCATTGTATTAATTTCGGCCACATGAGTTCTATGAGACGGTTGGATTATTGGTTTAACGTGCAATCAAGGTCCATGAATTTATCCTTTATTATTATGACACAAAAAATATATTAACAAAATATATTTGTTAAAGAAGACAATTAATACATCAGTTTTACACGAAACAAAACAAAAACAAAAAGGAAAGAATGTAGAATTTGCAAGTATGAACTTGGAAGACAAGAAAACATCACAAATGGTAAAATAACCTATTTGTCTTCGCACCATTCATTTTCTTTTTTGATTTGTTCTTCCTAAACGAAACAAAATAATAAAATTTACAGAAAGAAAAGACTGAACGAACTTCTTGTGGTGTAAAATCATTTTTAATATTAAATGTTCGTCGAATTTCTTCCGGTGTTTTTCCTTTTATCATATTTGCAACTGATTTACATGTTACATCTAGTAAGCCTTTTATATCTAAATAATTGGCAGCCTAATAATGAAATCAACAAAAAAAAAGACATTCTATTTTTTAGTACTAAAAACATTTTTGAACAAACCAAAATAAGTTCAAAAAGTGTTCCTTGATCAACTTTTAGAAACTCTTGATCCCATAATGATATATCATTTGTATTTTTTTCACCATTTTCATCATCTTCTGGTAGTGGTGGATCACCTTTATGATGTGTTGCCCATTGAATAACCTATTGAAATTATTTATTCAAAAACATAAATTTTCTTAAAATTTTACTTTTTTTAGAATAGCTGAACTAACATTCGGTAACGGTATCACTTCTCCTTCTTCACCCATACCAAGATCTAAAAAACATTATGATCAGTTTTATTTAAATAAAACCAATTATTTTACCTTCTAACATTGTCTTTATTGTTATTGCTTGATTAGCAATTTCAAGTTCAACATCAAATATATCGCCATCATTCGATTGTAATTTTATTTTATGTCCAGCCATTTGTTTCTTTTATTGTATTGATAAAAATCAGTGATATATTATCTGAAACAGAATTAATAATTTGATTCTTAAATAACAAATACTCATCTCAATACCGCATACTTCAGATGAGTATTCAATAATTAATTTCATAACTAACAATTGAAATTCTTCGATACTATGTATTTACGAGGTAGAAGAGAGAGAAATTATTTTTACAAATTTTACAAAAACACAGGAACATACATCGAGCCACGTCAACATATGAGTCATTGTTAACTACAGAGAAACGACCTTATATAGTAGCTATGACTCAGCAAAACAGATTATAGTCAGTTCTTTCAACTCATCGTGAAATTTGTTTGAGCTGTCATAACCTATTACAAATGACTCATTATTTTCAAAGAACGATAGTAAAGAAATTATGTTGATGACATCAGCTTTTTAGTTCCACTTTCCCAAGCACGAGACTCGAACCAGAACTGAACATTACATTGGAATCTTCTGTTGCTTAGAGCGAATCATTTTATTAATCATATTTATAAAAACAAACTCAGAAGGACAGGCTAAAAACATAATAATAGTCAACTAAATTAATTCGAAAGTGAATTCAAGAATATTTTAGCTTTAGTACAAGTGGATTTGAAATAATTTGCTTCAGACCAGGATCAACCCTCAATAAAGAAGAATTACTGTGACCACTGGATAGAATTTGGTGATTCAAAAAATTAGCTAGAAGTGGAACCGTTAAATCATCCAAGAGGTTTGAAAATCTTAAATCTATGTTAAGAAATTTTCATTATTAAACTGTTGAGACTAAAGAGGCTACATATTTCAGTACTTTAACCAAACAATATTATACATATAGGCTGAAATCCTAAGTCTTAAGAATGAAGATTTCTCGACAGTTACTTATAGACTACTCTATATAATAATCATTTATTGGTATATAACTAAATGAAGGATGAACACGATACTTACATGTTTTTTATGATGGGTTTGCTGGTGAAAATATTTGTGTAAAATTATCCTTGCTTTGTTTGGAAAATATATTATTGGAGGTTGTATGTCTTTTGCCTTTGCAATTCATGCTTATATAGGCAAAGGCATGAAGGTCATCAGAGACAATAACCGTCAGGATAGAAAGACGTCGTTCAATGGCGGTCGGCAAAACGTCAAAGAAAGTCATTATAATATACGTCAACAATGAATAATAATATGTAGAACAGCATCGCTCTTTATGATATTCTTTTGTTGTTTTTCATATTATTGTTTTCTGCCGAATTGTATACAATTGAAAACCAAAGAATTACTACCAATCAGATATTTAGTATATGTTTAAAGATGAGGCATTGCTTAAGGTAATGTTCCACCGTGTATACTAGAGGTGCAGAATCTGCCGCAAAAATGAAAAATTTCGCCAAACGGCAAAATTTTTTCGGAAAATTTCTCCGAATAAAAAGAAGAGAAAAGAGGGTCTTTGTTTCAAGATGCATATTCATAAAACAGAACATCAAAAGCGAGCTATCGATAAGGTGCCAAAAACGATCGCGATGTAAAAAAAACCAAATCATTGTGATTATAATCAATTATTATGCAAAGAAAACTTAATAAAGTGATGTCATGAACATAGAACAGCTACAACAAATTTTTAATCATCGAAGTCGATTAGAGTCCCGTCCATAATAGAAGACTATTACTTTCTATTCGAGTTTTTCAGATCATCCTTCTCGAAGCTGTCTTCTAATATGAATGTAGTCTTTGAAACGTTCTTTAAGAATCAATTTATTTAAGCAACGTGTTTTATGTTTAAAGAGGTGAATTTTGGTAAAACCTTTGTGTAACTTTGAACAACCTCTTGATTTCCAGGTAAAGTATGACTAAAAACTTTGAAAGCTTCCAGTTTTAGCACAAATCAATAACAGAAATACTCTGATCTGTTGATCCGTCTGGATTATTTTCTAAATATTAGTCTTCTATTGCGAGAGAAAGGCTTCATAAAGAATCATGTGCAGATACTTTATTATGGCTGATAAATCAGATAAATTGCAATATAGTATTCACCCATATAATCTATTATATTCAATTTCGTTGACTAGAGACTAATATAAATTTTTGCATATTCATGTAATTATTTTATTATATCCCGTCAAAAATAATCTACTACTATCAAAATTGATGCTATTTTGTCTTTACATGAATATTTCTTGATAAATTAAACCAAAAACGGTAACGTTTAAAAAGAGTAAATGACAAGAACCAGTGCTGAAAGAAAAACGGGGTAGGGAAAGGAAAAAGGCATCTGGAGACGAATGATGCGCATGCAAGTGAGACAAAGACCTAGGTCTATAAATTAATAGACAAAGAAAGAGCAAGTAAACTAGAGAAATCGTTTATTGAGTTTATGATTTCTCCGTAGAGGAAAACATTCTTCGAAAAGTTCTCCTATTTCACCATTTTCAAGAATTTTCCCAAATGCGTGTTCCCGCACACGGGTAGACTCTGCACCTCTGGATTTTAATCTAAAGTATACAATCTTATTAATCCGATGCTAACTTGAGAAAAATGATCCATTGACATGAAATATTTAGATACAATTTTTGTCAAATTGTGATACAGATGTCTCATTATTCATAAACAAAATGTACACTTTGAAGAAAATTTCCCACTATCTGAAAACGATATATGATGAGATTTTTGTTTGTGATAAATTATTCATTGTTATGCATTTCAAACGAATACGTAAGATTGATTTATTGTTCATTTTTAGATTTTATATATGTCACCATTGTCTTCATATACCATTTAGCCTCTGCAACAAAAAGAGGGCGTCCAATACCAGAATATACAGATAATTGAGCATGTTTTATTTGAACAAACTGAACGTGAATTTAGTGGAAAGTTTCCAATGACTGTATACAGTAAAACCTTTCTAGTGTGAACATCATCGGGTTCATTCAAAAGTGTACTTTAAAAATGCGAAGCATGATTTACTGGGAAATAAAGAAAAAATTCTAGCAAATTCACTGCGACATTTGTATTAGATAAAGACCTATATATTTATTTTCTTGCTCATCTAGTGTTATCTAAATGATCTGAATTGAAAGATTTTTCAATTACAGGACAAAATTTTATTGTTTTAATAAATTTCTCTAAATCTTGTTTATCTTTTTGCTCTTGAACTGGTTTTTTTCACACGTTGCTTTACAAGTCATTTATACCGTCGATCGTCTAGTTTTTGTGCATTGACATCTTCTAGTTTTCGTTTAACACTTTGATTCTGATTTGAATCGCAATTATCTAAATATTCTGCTTTACTTTTTTAAATATTTGGCACAAAAACGAATGATTTATTATATTTTCCAGTCAATATACATTATGACAAACTATTATCATTTTGATTTCCATGAATTAATAGTATTTTTTCTTAAGAAGTAAGCTTGTGTCGTAATATCATTTTTTACTTGATACTTACAATAGTCGAATCATGCATAAGATGTAGATAATTGTAGCGCATAAGAAACAGGTGTAAGGAACTGCAGAACCCTTTTTTTTGGTTCTAGTCTTGGTTCTGCTAGAAATTGTTTTTAGTGCAGTCAGGACCAGGACTATTTTTAGCTCCCTAAACAGGTGGCAGAAAAGAGAAAGAACTGAAAAAACTTTTTCACGTTACAGAGGTTATAATACGTAAAAAAAGGACCTCTAAAAGTATTCACTGGTGAGAGTAGGAAGGTCTTCACATTAGACAGAGAATAATATGAAGCAAAAAACACTTCGTCTCACCAAAGATCGTTCATAATCAAGTGGTATTTATTAGTAGAAGTTTTACTGTATTTAGAATCAGCAGAAAAAGCAAGTCAGCTTATTTATGTTTCAAACTTGGACTGCAACTTTTTTTTCTAATCAAATTTTCATATCTGTATTCTCTTCACAGGAATGTCTTGAAAATGAATTCAATCAATACAAGTACTACATTGTTTGATCACCTGTTTTTTTGTCTTTAAGTAGCATTTTACAAGCTGAAGAAATTCCTTTTGACGACCAAAATGGCTTTTTGGTCAAGTTCATTTTTTCATATATCCCTGAGAAGACGATCAAGGGTTCAAACTTTGATCAGGAAAACAATCGTACAGCAGACTTGAGACATATATAAATAGACTCAGTTTGTTGTGTTGATTCCAAACACGATATTTTTTAAAAGTGAAATATATATTATTATGCATGAAAACCGTTCAATATCAGTCGAAAAAGCTGGATAAGGGACCCTGACGAATGGTGAAATTAGAATTTTGTTATGTGACTAACTTTTTACACCGTAGAAGGTAGTTTGTTTTGTAGCACCTGAATACTGTAACAATTACGAAATGAATTCAATGTGGAAGAAGTTCCATTGAGGTAATAATTAAATGATAAATTCGATGCACATCGGTATTTCAGATTCACATCGTAATCAATCAAAGATTGGTTTATGCTTTAGTAGATTCAAAACAGTAATTTAAATGAATGTTTCTCTCATGAAAGTGTAACCTGAACAAGAAGCTGTCAGAATGACTTTGAATTACTCTTTGCCTTTCTTTGTGTTCTATAACATGAATGCTCACATTGCTAGCTACTATCGATAACTAATTGTCAATTTGTTACATCATGAAATATATCTTGTACACTGTTATGATCGAGTCAAAATGATCATGAACTTATGATCTTTCATTCTATATATGACTCAATTTGATTGAGTTTTGAAAATCACAAGGGGCTGAAATGCATTCTTATGCGTCGCATCCTTTAACAAAATACTTGTTACTAACGACATCTATAATCGATCTTCTTTCTAATGCTTTTTTAACATTTTCATTGTTTCCAGCTCTTCTTTGTAATTTTTCACAACCAATTATCGACTTTACTTATTTATTTATTTGAACCTTAGTTTCAGATTTACTAATGGTAAAACCAAGCATTAGTCCAAAGAAATATTGTTTATCAAATAGATTCTTATCATATTTAGTTTAATGGATAAATATATGTTCAGTGAATTCTTATGAATTATGACATTTACGTTGAAATTTTAGATAAAATTATTTATATTTGCAACGAGTGTTGTATTCGATGTATGGAACCAACATTTGATGACTAAACATTCTTCCTCCAATGATATTGTATCTAGATTAACTCAAGAGGTGAAAGAATAAAGAAAACAAAGCGAAATAGTCTCAAAATATCAAATTGTACTTTGGTTTTTAGAATGAAAATATTGTTTTAGAACCTCTGCTTTCATCAAATCAAGAAGTAAGTATATAAAATGATTCGATTAATTGATTTGTATGAGCTAGAGATTTGATTTTTCCTCTATACTTTTGCTATTAGTCAAATGACAATTTATTGGTGAGTGAGCATCATATACAAGATTCACAACCATTTCATTCTACGTTCATTTCGAGAATGATAAGGTTCCGTAAGTGTCGCAAATTCACTAATTTTCTTTCAAAAGATGTTTGCCCTTTATTCATCCTACGTGTGTAGTTTTTTCCACTTCAATAAATTTACGAATGCGAGAAAAGTAAAGCTTGATTTTTTTTAATGTATGAATAGGTTGTCCAATGAGTCTACGACAATCTCGTGTGTGTTGTTTTGAAGCATTAAAAAGTATTCCAGTAGTTTTTATTCTTGCCATTGTTGCATGGTCCTATTATGCGTATGTTGTACAAATGTGTATTTGTAAGTTTGAATTTTTATTAGATTTTTTTAATTTAGTATTTTTTTTTGCTAGTAACTATTGACAACGTTCCGAAAAAAGGTAGGACAAAGACAAACAAAAATTGATTGATGTCAGGTTGAAAGAATTTATAAAGTTACGCATGTTGTGTAATAAGTTTCAATTGACAATAAAGTCGATTCAGCTGGAACCTTTAATACTAAAATATTATATTTCACTAAATTTAGTTATCTCTTTCAACGTAAATAACTGCAAGACTTTTCAATGAAACAGAGTTTTCGAAACCAATACGATTTTAAAATGCTTTTGCTTTTATTTAGTTATATATTTATTTATTTATCATCCATTACTATTTCTCTTCCTATGGTCTTATTATCAAACAATATTTAAACCTTTAGTCGGGCCACCTAGTGATGTAAATTTATTCCAAGAATTTTCTTTTATTATTCTATTGTCTCTTTTTTGTAGTTCTATGTTGGTGAAGCAGAAGGTGAACGTATAGCAACAGCACAAACATTAGACGAACGACGTACGTCTCTGCTTCGTTTTTGTCGTCGAGGAGATTTACCCGTATTAACTCGACATTTTGATGGAAGTAAGTTTAATTAAGAAATTTAATATTCAATACGAACTATTTATTTGAAAAAAAAAATCCAGGTATTCGTTACTGCTTTTTATGTCGATGCATAAAACCCGATCGAGCTCATCATTGTTCTTTATGTGGAAAATGTGTTCTTCGATATGATCATCATTGTCCATGGTAATTATTTTCTGTAAAAATAAAAAAAAAAATAGTTTATTTTGTTTTCATTTTCAGGACAAATAGTTGTGTTTCCTATGCAAATTATAAATTTTTTATTTTATTTCTTGGTTGGGCTTTAGTATTTTGTACTTATGTTGCAGCAACATCATTAGAATATTTCATTCTTTTTTGGCAGGTAATTTCAACATTTGACTTTTTTTTTCTTGCTGCTTTATACATTGATTTTTGTTTTTCAAATTGGCTTCAGGGGATTGCTAATGCTCATATGGTATACTAGATGTTATTTCATGGAAAAAAAAGCATTCGTTGTTTCTTTTCAGGATGTGAATAATTCAGCATCACCAGGTGGAAAATTTCATTTACTTTTTCTCTTTTTTGCGTCAATTATGTTTGCTATTAGTGTATCATCATTATTTTTTTATCATTTATTTTTAACTGGAAAAAATCGAACTACACTTGGTAAAAAATAATAATTTATTAATACGTTGATTAATTTGATATGATTAGAATCATTCCGAGCACCAATATTTTCTGATGGACCACAGAAAGATGGATTCAATATAGGTTGCAAACAAAATTTTCAAGAAATATTTGGAAAAAAAATTCTAACTGCAATTATACCAATATGGACAACGTAAGATTTAACTTTTTTTCTCAAGTATGAATTTTCAAATATTTGATTAAATAGTCGAGGTGATGGAGTTCATTATCAAGTGAATAGTTTATTACTTGGTGCTTTGCAACTACAACAACAACAATTTGGTAATATAAGGTATGCTTTGAAAACGAAATTATAGTTCTATAGTTGTAAACTTAGTTAGGATCTTGTTCATTAACTAAAATGTTCGAAATAAGACTATGATCAGAGAATTTCAAACTATTGCTTGAGCTAAACTTAAAAAGCAAAAGATTTCTTTGAGTATCGAATCAATTGCATGTCTTATCAATGAACTGATAGTTACAACAAAGACTGAGATGTTTGCTAGTTATGGGTTCTATGAAAAAAGTTTTCATTGGTTTCAGTTTAAATGAATAAGATTTCATTGTTATAAGAATCATCAAGTGAGTTATATATAGTCAAACAACCTTTTAAGACTGTTACATTTTTGAATTTTCTCCTCAATGATAATGGCTAGAATAAATCAGAGTAAGATTTGAATAGCTGAGACAACTTGGTATTACGATTAGTGCGACTACAAATTCCATTAAACTTTCTTGAACGAGAGTCACTAGAAAACAAAGACTCCAGAAGCAATTTTTTGCATTCAATTGAAAGTTTTTCATAAGCAATTTCATTCGATAGAGCTGTATCCGAGCTCTCCACAACCTTGCCTGGTCCAATCAAATTCAACTCCAGAATGATATCATAAGCACTTTTCGTTAATTTCTATTAATAAACGCAGTCATTTGGTTGTATTTGACACTTTTAGATCTCTTTGCACTTAAATTGAGTACGATAATGCAAGGTCATGGAAAGTCCGGAGACAGTACACTGTCCTCTATTGAATAAACTTGTCTGCAGAGCGCTACCAATCGAATCTAGGGAGCTATTTTTCCGAATTTTAGTTTTGTAAAGACTCTCGTTCAAAAATATTTTAATGAAAGATTTAAATGCACTAATCTTGATAGTAAATCGTCACTGCAATTCAAAGCTTATTCTGATCTATTCACGCTATTAACATTAAGGAGAAAACTCAAACATATGACTGTCTTAGAATTTTGTCCGCAGCTAAACATAATAAATCGAATAGAGTAAAATGTTTCTAAAAGGAGTATAAAGAAATAAAAATGATTATCAAATTTCTCAAAGATAAGTGCGAAGAGTTGAGAAGAAAAAACAAACTTTATATATTATCAATCTGGAATAGTGTGCTGCATGAAGGCGACTTTTCGCTACTGGACCGACACTGAAGCTAATGAAAATTAGAAAAATGCTTTCGCAGTCATAATTTGTTTTTTTTAAATTTAATTCGATACGAAAAAGTATACTATTTAGTTTCTTCCATAGACAGTAACAAAAAGAGAGAGCATTTCAAATACTACAAAATACCAAATGACATAGGATTCACTTGGTTCATTTCTACTTCTGAAATCCTATGGATTTCGCTAAGTATACGTTTGCTTATTGTTAATGATGCTAGAATAGAACGCAGTGTTACTGCCAAGCGTCATACTTGTGGATATATGCATGACAGCTTTTTCCATTACGATAATACATGTTCACTTTTTTGATAAATCATTTTCCTGTCTACGTATTCAATTACTTTGTTGAATAGTTCATCATCATCTCTAGATAGATTTCCACTAAAAGTGAATATTTTTTTTAGTCAAAAAAATCTTGCTTTCCACTTCTGTAGCCTGCTCTCGTTTAGAATAAATTGCTCAGATTTTTACTTCTATACTTTCATATTAATTAACACTAAAAAAGTAATCGTATTTTGAAACGGTGAGATCTCATTAATTGCCAGGTTCTCGAAAAAATTCTTCATGAAAATTTACTATTAATAGGATGACACCTTGAAATATTGAAGATATCATGAAGAAAAAGAGAAAACTGCACGTAAATAAAAATCAACAATGATTCCTTTTTTTTGGTTCTGTGACATAAAATTTATTAACTTATGCTTTATAATAAAAAAAAAATTAATTATTTTTTATTTAGTAATGATGTAGCTTTGCCACTAGACACAACATCGAATTCTGTGAACAATGATCGTAATTATCTGTTGAGTGAAAATAACAACAACAGATAAGTAAAAATAGGTTTCATTATGTTTACTAACTCTTTAATAATATGAATGGCATTTTTTCCTTCTATTTCCGATGTATATTTATTATGAAATTTTTTCTGTCGGCCTAATCGATCGAATTTTTGTTTGTCTTGTTATTTACTTTCGAGTGTTCGGTTTTTGTTTTTTTTTGTTGTTGTTCGCTTATCTATTTGGTTCATTATTCGTTAAAACATGAATTTATCTGCCCCCCCCCCCCCCCCCTCCGCTCTAAAAAAGCAGAATAAAGAATATATTGGGTTCCAAACTACTTCTAGATTAAACATCTAATCTAACAATGTCGAATACAAAAACTAAAAAAGGTGAAAGTGGTAACAAAAAAAAACAAATTACAAATGAAGTTGTTACTCGAGAATATTCTGTTAATTTACATAAACGATTACATGGCGTGTATGTTTTATTTGATTTTTTGGTATTAAAAATTTTATTGAATACTTTTCAATAGAGCATTCAAAAAACGTGCACCACGAGCAATTAAAGAATTGAAAAAATTCGCTGAAAAAATGATGAAAACACCTGATGTTCGTATTGATTCAAAATTAAATAAAGAAATTTGGTCACAAGGAATCAAGTTAGTGAATCATTAGTTTTCTTTATTTACAAAAAATAAAATCCGATTTATTTTAGTCATGTTCCATATCGTGTTCGAGTACGATTAGCTCGTCAACGTAATGAAGATGAAGATTCACCACATAAACTCTACACATTGGTCACATATGTCCGAGTACCTTCATTTAAAGGTTTGGATTTATTTGTATTTTTAGAAAATTTTTTCTAATATATTTTTTTTTTCTATTTTAGGATTACTTACTACTAATGTAGACAATGAATAAATATACAAAACACTGAATAACATCAATTAAGAATATTATCATTCTCTATCGTTGTTTTGTTGAATAAAGTTGAAAGAAGAAAAACAAAAGGAAGACGAATGTTCTAACATTCAGTCTAAGAGGAAATAAAAAAAAAATTATTTATTTTGATTCAAAATCTTTTGATGCAATATCTCAGCTGCATATATGTTGGATTTCGATCGATGCTTATGTGAGGATTTTGAAAAATTTTATTTCTTTTTTGAGCTTATTCATCTGTAGAATCAAAAAATCTGAAAGTTTCAAACAAAAAGATAACTTTAGTTATCAGCTGAAGTCTATGATGATTAATTTACAGTGATTTTCTTGTTTGCTGATTACATTAATTGTTTGTTGTTGTTGATCAAAAGAAAGTTATCTCTCGAAATTGACAAGACTTCATGAAGTATCACTTTAATTAAAGTATTTACATTAGAATATACATTGCTTTCAAGGTTTCGAGCTGAAAATTTTAAAAGACTTTAGTCAACATTATTTATCGGCTTTTACAAACCACTTGTGAAACCTTGCAAAAATGCTTTGCTTTTCTGAAAAAAACTTTCTTTACTAGAAGCTATGAAAATACATTGGCCACATTTGCAAACTCACTTTAAAACTTTGTATATTTTTATTGCGGGTAGACATTTAATCAAGAGGGACACGGCAGACTTTGTACTTGAAGGTAATTTACACTACTTAAGGGGGAACCCCCCCTCAGAAACCTATCTCCTAAACGGTTCAAGAGATTTCGATGAAAATTTCAGGAAATAGAAAAGCTAATGTAACTAGCATCTGATAAAAATTTGAACCAATCATTTTTGATAATTGAGGAGTTATACTTAATTTACTCATGAAAATGGGGCTTTTGGCACGGAACATTTTCCCGAGGCGCGATAGCATGGAAAATGTTGAAATTTGTTTCAAAATGAAGAAAAATCTTTTATCTAGAAATTGTGGGGACAGTTTTTTGAAATTCATCTTTGTTCAATAGTAGTGATCATTTTAAATCGAAAATCGAAAAAACTGCTTTGATCTCTTTCAAAGATTTTCTAATATCTGAACAACTGAGATATATTTTAGAAATCTGTTCCCACAATTTCTAGAAAAAAGTCTCATCTTTTGAATAAAAAAAATATCAGCAGCGTACGTCAAACAGTGGACTGGGAAAATGTTCCGCAGTGATCAGTAAACGATAAAAAAGTGAAGCTGAGAAAAACGAATAACAACATTGCGAAGTAGTTGATGATGTTCCAGTGTAGAAAATTGGAGCATATTATATATCATTGGAAAGTGTGTAAAAAGGTCTTGCAGTTGATGATGCTTTCAAGAAAAAATTAAGCTAATTTCTAAATCCAAGTTTACTGTAGCGCCACCTTTTCGAAAAATAACCTAATTTTGAAGCTTCCTTCTCTGACTGCAACAGGTAGAACACGATTACTTGATACATCGATGGTTTTATACTTCTGATAAAGAAGATGGAACGATATTAATTACCGGTAACTAAGGAAAAAAAATCAACACAACAGTCGATTTTCCACTATGACTTCCAATAGACGCCCCAGAATTTGGCAAAATATGTTCTATTCTTATATAATTTATACATATTCTGAAAGAGGACACTCAGGGCTACTAGAATATGTGTTTTTTCAAAAATCGAGTTTTTTAAGAAAAATCGACTTTCTGAGGGGGGGTTCCCCCTTAAACGCACTTCGAGCTACTTTAAAGTACTTTTCTGTAATTTTAAAGTGTTTTTCAAAGTACTCTCATATATTTTTAAAGTACTTTGATGTACTTCAAATCTGCCGTTTCCCCCGTTGTATTTAATACACTATGCTGATAATGACTATCAGTTGCACGTAGCTATTATTTATCTAAGTAGCCTATGCCGAAGTACATGCGAACACTTGTCGACTACTTGGGCTTCGTTCGGACCCAATGATTAATATATTAATAACGTCACTTAATCATATGCAAATGTTCTTTCTATGTAGAACAGTCCGAAGTATATGTGAATTTTAAATAATGATGTATGATTTAAGTACCTCGAAACTAGAGAATGATAAGACCGTGAAAAAAGACTAGATAAATATAATTTAAACCAAATACTATTCTGTTTACCCTTGTTGTAATCAAATCTTTACATGTTCGTGATAAAATAATAACAACTTTGTCTATCATATTTATTATATCAATTGAGGTCTGCAAGAATTCCAAATGGACAACAAGTGATAGTCATAGAGGTGGCCGTATTAGGGTTAGACGCTCATATGTAATTCTGAACGAGCACTTTATATTCAATCAAAATACTAGAAACGTAGCCTTTCATATGCCTGGTCGTATGGCTGAAATTACAATGTGCATCTAAGCGAACATTACGTGAGGAAACCAAACTGATTCTATCATCGATTCGAATAGTGATACATATGATTTGAGACATACTTTACCTTATGGCATAGAAATTTTTGTTACGATTGAAAGTGGTATGAAAGGACAGGAATTTAAAAAATTGTCTCGGTAAACATTTTGGAACATCAAGTATATTTAATCGTTACACTTCTTGACATGAAAAAAGTAGTTCAAGAAATAAATCTTTTTTAGTGCATATATGCTATCATTATTTTAGGTATTTATTTGATTTTCCCTTATACAAAAAGTAAAATGATGCTTTATTCTATAATTTATTTCTATCTATCTACATACTAATATCGAATGTCTGTGTGTTAATAGATCAAGGGTTACAAGTCTATGATCAAAAATTATCGGTAAAAGTACGAGAATCAAGATAAAAGTAAAAACAAGCGTGCAATCTACACGAGAACTCGCAAGTTTTCTAAATAACAAAAGGTACAAAAGTTTTGCATTAATGTTGTTCTCAGTATAGGTTGACAACAACTCATCATAGAAACTTGGCAGTTTTCTTGTTCAAAAAAGCAAAGTTTCTACTACAAAATTATGTAAAGATATTTCGTTCAGCATATTTATTGAAGATTGAAAAGTTCAAAGAATATGCATGGCTGAAAGAATACCTTGTAACTTCATACAAAATCAAGCATGAGAGATGCTTTTGATCGATTTTTTTTTCACTTGGCTTTCAAAATTTTTAGGCACGATATGTATGAGTGTTACCATTGCGATGTGGACTTGCTTAATAATATCAACATATTCGAGTTACAAAACCACATTTTTCATAAGGAACAGTTTCATTCAAAACTTGATTTTTCTCTTTCAAATGTCCAACAAAGCTTTTCTCACAATGTCTAATAAGCTGTAATTAGTTGCAGATATTCTTCGCTGGCAAAAGTCTCTAGAAAAATGTCAATTTTGAACTGAATCGCTGACATGAAAAGTTTATTTGTACTTGTTTATAATGCTGTGTCACAGTGCTACAAAACTTGACAGGAAACGAAAATTAAGACCAGCTATCTTAGTGAATTGAAATTTTCTTCTAAATTTCAGTCAAATATATCCTCAAAAAAATTTACGACCTTCATTAAGTATTTTTAACCAAATATTTTTGTATAGCTTTATACTAGGGACTTTTTTCTTTTTCAAGAAGAAAACTATCAAATCTTCACTAGACACGTTGATCCGTTTTGATTCAATCTACCCGACATGTAACTCATGTGAGGATTAAACCTCTAATGAGTTATTTGTCTTGGTATTTTCATAATTTACTAGTTTCATGAGTCGGGTTAATATCTTTTGAACTCGTCATGTAGTCATCGGGTCGAAGTATAAACTTATTGAGTTCATATGACAGGCCGACTTCAGTTTTGAACAGGTTTAATAAAAAGCACAGTTAATAATATCTCTGATCTAATGAAAAAGTTGTTTTCACGCTATACTCAAAAACAAAATTAATGCAGAAATTTTCCAGCATCCATCATACATAATTATGTTTATTTATACTTATATATATATGCAGGGAAAAAGTCAATCTATTTTAAGGTTAAATTTAATTTTCAGTATATTTAGTTCTTATATAAACATTCTCGAATATATTTATTTTTCTTTTTTTTTTCTAAGGACATTTCACAATAGTTTAGTGGTAGTTAGAAACACGCAACCAGTGTATGTATGTTTTATTCATTTTATTTCGAGATACGGACGTTT